TAAAAACTATGATATACAAATAATAAGTATAAAGACTATGATATACAAATAATAAGTATAAAAACTATGATATATAAATAATAAGTGTAAAAACTGTGAAATACAAATAATAGGTATAAAATCTGTGGTTTATAAATAATAAGTATAAAACTATGATATACAAATAATAAGTATAAAAACTATGATATACAAATAATAAGTATAAAAACTATGATATACAAATAATAAGTGTAAAAACTGTGAAATACAAATAATAGGTATAAAATCTGTGGTTTATAAATAATAAGTGTAAAACTATGATATACAAATAATAAGTGTAAAAAATATGATATAAAAAAAAGGTATGAGACTGTGATATATGAATAATAAGTATAAAGGTGTAATCAATTTTCTCAAATAATTCTAACTAGTGTAGATCTCACTAAATAATCGTCCTGGACAAAGTTTTAATCACTTGAGAAAAATAAACATTGCTTGTTTAGAAAGACACTTTTGATGAGAAGTTAATTCATTCTTTTGTTGTTGCTGGAGATCTGCTTATTACCTGGAAATGCCAACTGCACCACAGATGGCCGAAGGATTAAGCTTGTTAGGAAATGAATAGAGCCATTAGATCAAGAGTGGCAAAACATTTAAGCTCTTAAGATTTAAAAGAAAATAACAACATAAAAACAAGTGGAAAGCCAGTCAATAAAAAAAGACGTAGAATCCCAGTGCTAAGTAAAGTATGATAATCCCTAAAAGAACGTGTTTTTTTTTCTCTCTCTCTCTTTAGGTATCTTGATGAAAATCTTCTTACGTCACTACAATCTAATACGTTTCAGGGATTGGGACAACTGCGTTCACTGTGAGTTGATATCTATTATTGTTTTTTACGCAATGGGTTGTCCGCACTTCGTCCACCGCGTGAAATAAAACTCCGGATTTTAGGCTTGTAAATCTGTAAAGTTACCGCTGAACCACCGATGAAACTGAGTATATACAACTTCCCAAATTCAGAAGTATATGTTTAAAGGAATTAATTTTATTGAACGATAAATTTTCGGACCAACGACGCTAAAACCCGTGGTTTTGTTCCCCGTACCTGGCATGGCCTGGTGGTTAGGAGGCGCTCGACTCGCAATCTGAGGGTCGCAGATTTGGAATCCCCGTCACACCGAACATGCTCGCCCTTTAAGTCGTGGGAGCGCTATAATGTTACAGTCAATTCTACTATTTGTTGGTATGAGAGTAGCCCAAGAGGTATTGGTGGGTGGTATTGACTAACTGATTTTCCTCTAGTCTATCACTGCTAAATTAGGGGCGGCTAGTGCTAATAGCTCTCGTGTGGCTTTGCGCGAAATTCAAAACTAACATAAAAATATCGATTCACTTAACTAACTTCTGTTGAAAAGCCTGATATATCAATTCAAAAATTCCTTCCCTCTTCATCCCTGGTGGGTCAGCGGTGACTTTCTGGACTTAAGACGATAAAATTCGAGATTTAATCCCCGCTAGCGCAGGTAGCCTATTGTGTCGCTTTTCGTTGACAATCAACAACGTTTCAACCTTCTGCCTTCTGAACCCTCCCCCAGTAGATAAGTAGATATTTATAAGTTTTTCCGTTTGGTAACACATGTTCTCGACTTTTTTATACCTTCTGAACCCTCCCCCAGTAGATAAGTAGATATTTATAAGTTTTTCCGTTTGGTAACACATGTTCTCGACTTTTTTATACCTTCTGAAAGTAAGGAGCAATTTTCTTGTAGTACCACTTCGAAATCAGGAGCAGTTTTTTGTGATATCCCCCTGAAATCAGAAGATTTCTTGTAAGTAGCCCTTTGAAATCAGGAGCACGTTTTCGTGATATCCCCTGAAATCAGAAAATTTCTTGTAGTAACCCTCTTAAATCATTTCAGAGGGATATCACAAAAACTGCTCCTGATTTCAGAGGGCTACTACAGGAAATCTTCTTATTTTAGAGGGATATCACAAAAACTACTCCTACTACAAGAAATCTTCTGATTTCAGGGGATATCACAAAAAACTGCTCCTGATTTCAGAGGGCTACTACAAGAAATCTTCTGATATCACGAAAAACTGCTCCTGATTTCAAAGGGCCTTCTGATTTCAGGGGAATTTCTTGTAGTAGCCCATTGAAATCAGGAGCAGTTTTTTTAGTGTAGAACTTCCAAAATCAAGAGCAGTTTTTCTGTAGTTGCACTTTAAATGTCAGAAGCACTTTTGTATTAGCATTCTGAAAAAAAAAGGTGCAGGTTTCTTGTAGTATTCAAAGTTAAAATTTCTCGTTCAAAATTGCGTTTGAGTTCACCAAACTCTGATAATAGACAAAATAGCGTTGTTGTTGTCAACAAATGCTCTGAATTATTTTAATGTTAAATACTATTATATCATGTTTGATATCTTCTCGCATTATTTTTACAGTATCTTAAAGGGAAACTTCATCCAAGAAATACAGCCCTTGGCTTTCAGTGGATTACTCTCGCTAAAGACTTTGTAAGTTCATTTGTCTGTTGTTGTTTATTTACCCTCAGTTCTTAACCAAAATGTCTACTAAGTAATTTCCTTTTGAGTTCATGATACTCAACTTGATTAGAACCGAGCAATTCGATTGCATCGCCAAATCATGTGCTATTGTTAAAAATGTAAGAAACCAGTGTTTTCATCTGTCATACTAAACATGATCTATGTGGTTTTCCTTTTGATATTGATATCCATTTCCTCGGAGAGATTTTCTCGGGTAGAATTAATAAATACTGACGACTTTCTTTAAACACCCGGCTACTAGTGAGAAACTTTGTTGAATTTTTCACTATAAATATAATCCTGTAGAGTAAACACACACACAAAAAGGTTTTTAACGTTTCTCACTAGTAGCCGGGTGTTTAAAGAAAGTCGTCAGTATTTATTTGGTTTTGTTGAATTCTTCACTATAAATGTAATCCTGTAGAGTAAACACACACACACAAAGTTTTTAAGACCAAATAAATACTGACGACTTTCTTTAAACACCCGGCTACTAGTGAGAAACTTTGTTGAATTCTTCACTATAAATGTAATCCTGTAGAGTAAACACACACACAAAAAGGTTTTTAACACCAAATAAATACTGACGACTTTCTTTAAACACCCGGCTACTAGTGAGAAACTTTGTTGAATTCTTCACTATAAATGTAATCCTGTAGAGCAAACACACACACACACACACACAAAGTTTTTAAGACCAAATAAATACTGACGACTTTCTTTAAACACCCGGCTACTAGTGAGAAACTTTGTTGAATTCTTCACTATAAATGTAATCCTGTAGAGTAAACACACACACAAAAAGGTTTTTAACACCAAATAAATACTGACGACTTTCTTTAAACACCCGGCTACTAGTAAGAAACTTTATTTGTTGAATTCTTCACTATAAATGTAATCCTGTACAGTAAACACACACAAAGAAAAATTTTACACCAAATAAATACTGACGACTTTCTTTAAACACCCGGCTACTAGTGAGAAACTTTATTTGTTGAATTCTTCACTATAAATGTAATCCTGTACAGTAAACACGCACACAAAAATGTTTTTAACACCAAATAAATACTGACGACTTTCTTTAAAACCCGGCTACTAGTGAGAAACTTTATTTGTTGAATTCTTCACTATAAATGTAATCCTGTACAGTAAACACGCACACAAAAATGTTTTTAACACCAAATAAATACTGACGACTTTCTTTAAAACCCGGCTACTAGTGAGAAACT